TGTTTTCCATCTTTGGAAAGGGAAAATGAGACTTAAGGTGTCACAATGCAGGAGGCGCAGGCATTCCTGTAGCCTGAGATTCCGAAGCAGCAGCGGCTCTAGTACTCGGCATGGAATGGGTAGTCCTTGTGATTGACAGCACTGCAAGCACAGGGCAAGAGCAACACATCAGAGCTGGCGTACTTGAAAGGTAAAAACGTCACGGCAATTCCCAGTTCGGGGGTAACAAACCCAGGGGGGCCCAAATGGCCCAGTCTGAGCCTCCAAGATTCCCTGAACAGCTTTGCCCCCCCCCCCCCCCCCCGCTCCTGTGGTAAGAACCTGGCTGCCAGGCGAACCCCTTCCCCATTGCTGCAAGTCTCTTCCTGCTCCCAGATTTTTATCCTCCCTGCGATTCTGCGAGGCAGGCTGAGCCTGGAAGAGGTGGACAAGCCCAAGGCCGCTCGGCGAATTACAAGGCTGGGTGGGGATTTGAACCCAGCTTTTCCTGCTCCTAATCTGGAACTCCAGCCCAGCCCTCCCCTGGCTGCACCCTCCAGCTGCCCAGCAACTGCAAAAGCAGAAATGAAACCTTTTCGTTGGGTCGCCCCGATGCAGACGGCAGCAACACGGCACACCAGCCGGTGACTGACGGCCTGCCAGGGGCCTTGGTAGACCAACCTCTTAGTGCCTCCCATGACATCTCAGAGGCTGCCCAGTCCCAGCCGGATGCAGGGGCTGCTGGAGGGCTTCCGTTCACCTGGCTGGATCTCAAGTCAGGCAGGCCTGCCCCACCAAAACCCGATTTGGTGGCAATTGGGGGCAGTTCATGCAGCACCCCCAGTGGGGAAAGCTTGAGTCTCACAAAGGCCTGTAGGCCAGCGCTTCTGAAGGCAAATTTGCCTGTCCTGGCCACGCACTAAGCCCAGCTGCTTCAGGAGGGTCACCTTCTTTCTTTCCCAACTTGTACAACCTCTGGTGCTCTCCAGATGTACTGAACCTCAGCTCCCATCAGCCCCAATCATTATGGCCAATGGTCAGGAATCCTGGGAACTTTAGTCCTGCACATCTGAAGGTTGGGAAAGGTGAGACTCTCTGCACGGGAAGCTTTATCTCATGCGCTGCTTCACATTTGCGGGAGGTGGCCCCTCGTAGGTGCACGGGTGGTGCTGACCTCATGCTCCCCACATGTCTAACCTACAAAGCCAGGCAGTGGGAGAATTGGCTATGTGTGTGTGTGTGTGGGGGGGGGGTTTCTGCATAGGAACAGAAAAGTTCTTACTCATGCATAGCACAATCTCTCCAGTTTTTGTTCAAGCCTAGGAGGGTTGCCATCTCCTCTTTAGTCAGTTCAAAGTCGAAGACCTGCAATTAGAAAAAGGGGCAAAAAAACGTGATCTAAGACTTGACCTTCAGTGGGGTGAAGAATGACATGCTAGGGTGGAAGGGGCTGAAAGGAAGCTAGTGGCAATATGGCTTGGGATCTGCCGTGGCCTGCCCTGGAAGACTGGAGGCTGCAGCTTATGCAAAAGTAAACAGTGATCAGATGGTCTGATCACACAACACCAATTGTGCCCTGCCTGCCCCGGCTGCCTATATGCTTCTGAGCCCAGATCAAGCTGCTGGTTTTAACTGATCAAGCCTGACATGGCTTGGGACCACAATAACTGGCAGGATGCCACTCCTGACCTCCTTCTTTCCGGTCACTACACTCAAGTTCTGGGCCTACCTCTGAAGGAGGCTCAGATGGTGGCGACAAGGAGCAAGGCCTTTTCACTGGTGGCCCCCTATTTATGGAATGAGCTCCCCACTGAGGCCTGCCTGGCACCAACTTTACAATCTTTTTGCAGCTGAGTAAAGACTGTCTTTTACTGCAGGTCATTGAGTCTACCAGAGCATGCAAGTTCTTAAGCAGATCCTCAAGTTATTATAAGATTTTATCTGTTTTACATTTGGTTTTAAATGTATTGTAAACGTTTAATACTTTGACCACCTAATGAGAAGGAAGGACTCCTGGAGAAGAGCCTAATGCTGGGAACAACAGATGGCAAAAGAAGGGGACGGCAGAGGATGAGGTGGCTGGATGGAGTCACTGAAGCAGTCGCTGTGAGCTTAAGTGGACTCCAGGGGATGGTGGAGGACAGGAAGGCCTGGAGGAATGTTGTCCATGGGGTCGCAATGGGTTGGACACGACTTCGTGACTAACAACAGCAACAACAGACTTTTAGTGTTTTGATTTGGTGAATTTTATATTGCATTTTAATGTGCTGTTGTGAACAGATCAAAGAGTTTTGGCTGTTGGGTGGCATAATTCAAGAATTGGGGATGGTTAGGACCAAAGGACAGAAATCTGAATGAAAGCTGCATATTTATATATGCAGATGTAGAAAGAATTATCACAAGAATTTAAGTTTCACAAAGAGCAAAATCCAGTGGAATAATTTCTCAGCCAAAGAAACATTAAATTCTTCAGTTAAATTGAACCTGTCCTGGATCATCCCAAGCCAATGGAAAACTGGAATTCCCCCACAATTTTATTTTTTTATTTAGGAAGTGGGAATAGTGGTTAAAACGTTGTGAAAAGCCCTGAAAATTACCTTCACAACATGTTTAAGACAAAGACCCTTCTATGGGCAACAATGAACACTCAGAGCTTTGTGAAATATAAGCCGGCCTCCAGGGCCAGGGACCCACAAAAAGTGTCTTTCCAGACTTGACACCTTCATTCATGTGTTGCAATGGTATTCTGTCCTTCCTTCAAGTAGTTTGCCATGACCCTGGGAAGTGGGTAAGCAGAGAGCGAATGGTTGCACTAAGGCCGCCAACAAGCTTCAAAGCGGAAGATGTTTCAAACCCAATGTCTCTGGTCTACTTTCAATAATCCACCCATTGCACCCCTGGTTCTCCCTGGGATTCACTCCACTTCAGATCTGGAAAGCAGCCGCTTCACATGCATGACAGAAGCCTTGAAAACCCTAACCTGAAACCAGATCCCTCACACATCAGCAACCCATGCCAAGGGGTCTGCTCTCTTTTGGCCCAAGGGCCAAATTCCCTTGCAATTTGGAGGCCACATCCCAGAAGCAAAAGGGACAAGGTTGAAATGCCCTAAATATCAGCACAGGGAAGCCCCAGTGATTCAGAAGCATCATTTTGACCATTGGGAATATGGGGAGCAGTATGAAAGCCAGGAAAGTCACCAGAGGGCCAGCAGCTGCGGGAAGGGGGTTGCAGCTGGAGGAAAATGGTGCCGGCATCTAGGGGATGCTGGGAGACAAGAGTTGGCCCAAGAGCTGAAGTGTTTCAGCCCTACTCTGGACCAACAGCCTTTGGCATTCTACCTCGCAGCTATTGCTCCTTTCAAACTGGTATTTGATCCCAGTAAGTGCCAAATCCATACAGCTGTATTGAAAAGTCCAGTTTACTGGGAGGGAGAAAGCAACTTTACCTTGAAATTCTCCTCCAGGTGGTGAGGCTTGTCTGATTTGGGAATGACAGCCACGTTCCTCTGGATATGAAACCTGAGCAGAACCTGCAGATACAAAGCAGAACTTTTCTGATCCAGCAGTACCCCGTGCAGATTTGGACCGAATTCCATAATACTTGCTATCAAACCAAATTTATCCCGTTCTGAAGCATTTAAGGAACACAGCTGTATGAAAATGATGCACCGAATTCTTTCTCTGTTTTCATGAATGCTGAAAAGCTATGTCAGAAAGAAAAAGTTGGCAAAGCTTATTCAGCCCTTTAGCACAAACAACAGATGGACAGGAATCAATGGCTGTGAAAAGAGGACTTGCGCTGCACACAACAAACGCAACAATTCTCACTTCTGGTTTATGCCACCTACACAGACATCAATAATTCTGTCTGTTCTGCCGATTTGCTCTGGGGGAAATTTGGTTTGGTCCACATGTTTAAGCAAGGGAGCCTAATTTGCATTTCCCACACCAATGTGTCTGCAACACATTTATCCTTCAGGCTGTGAAGTTTTCCAAATGTTTCCATTTATTTCTCAGCTCAAAAATGTGCACAACTATGCACATTGGATATGTATACAAATAGCTTGCTTGATTTTTAATTCCATTTCTATGCTGCCCATAACCTGAAGGTTCTCTGGTTCTATTTTACGGAGAAATATAAAAACACAGAAACACAGTGAGTCAGAAGGGGTCTCCCAGGCCATCTAGTCTGACCCCCAACTCTAGCCAGCTCTGCTCACGACATGCATGACTTAGATGCCAGCAATCATGCAACTCTTAAAAAATGCAGGAAAAAATTGCAGGAGTCAATGCAAGAATGGACCCGATTCTCATGCTGCTTAACCATTTTGGATGAGATCAATCTACACTCTATCCCAAAAATTATCATGAAAAAGCACTTTGGAAAGCTCAGGAAAAGGGTACCCTTTCCTACAGAGCCATCTGCATGGAAAAGGAAGAGCCACTGGCAGGTTCTCCTTCCCATTTTGACAAAGCAGAACTTTTCTGATCCTGCAGTACCTCTTACAGATTTGGACAGAATTCCATAATACTTGATTACAACCAGTCCAAATTTCTCTCTCTCCGAAGCGTTTAAATAATACAACTGTGCCAAAAGGATGCACTGAGTTTTTTCTCTGTTTCCATGAATGCTGAAAAGCTATGTCAGAAAGAAAAACAAAGGAGTTCTCTTTCCCACAGAGCCATCTCCATGGAAAAGGGAGAGCCACTGGCAGGTTCTCTTTCACATTTTGACACCTACCTGAGCTGTGCTTCTGTGATGCCTTGCAGCTATCTCTTTAATTTTGGGGTCCTCCAAAAGGACGGGATCCCCTGGCTTGAGACTGCAAAATGAAACCAACAGGAACATTAAGAGAACCGTCCTTGCAGGTTTTCTCTCAAGCAAGTCCGTGTGTCCTCGAAGGCAGAAGCAGCGGAAGGCCAGTGGCGAGAGGGATCGATTCCACAAAGGAAGCCACACCTTTGGGTCGACAGAGCGGAGCTGGGACTGGACATTTTGGTGGGCGCCCACTCACAGGGTCACCAGAAGCAGGAGGCCTGTAACAATAGCAGCAGCCCTCGGGGCAGGCAAGACCTTTCGCCAGAGAGCAGGCGATGCGCAAGTCCAAGCAAAACCAGGATAACTGCAACTACACCTTCCGAGGAAGTACCTGTTCTGGAAGACCTGACATACTTATTTTCTAGACTATTTTATGAGTTCACCTCCCACCTTATAGACCAGGGCAAGAAACCCCTTTAAGAACCCCTTTAATTGGACTGACTTCAATTTCTGAGAAGTTCTCAGAGCTGCTGAGAGAAACATTTTGAAGAACTGGTGTCAGGCATGCACAAATTGCAGGACAGAAAGGCATCATGGGACAATCCAGGCACAGCCATATCATTCCTCAGCAGAAGTCCAAATCAGTCTTACGAATGAGCGCCAAAAGGCCGGTACGCAGTCACCGAAATCCCTCTGGACTGGCAGTAGGGGATCAGCTTCTCCTGGGTGAGATATGGGTGGCACTCAATCTGCAAAGCCAAGTAAAACCGGGGTTATTTCTCCAGTAGGGCCAGCAAACTCCTTCCAAGAGTGGCCCTATTCTGGGGACAATCATATAGGATGAGCTTGCCTCCTACTTCATAGCCCAGAGGTGGAAAACCGCTTTTAAAGATTTGCACTGCATCTCGTATTATTAACGGGATTTCAATGGCAATTTGGGCTTTTGGAATGTGGAAAAAAGCGTGCAACAGACCGGGAATGTGCTGAATAATCAGCAGCTCTGGGGCAGGGTGATCTTGGAGAGAAAATTTTTTTGTTGTGAGCCGCCCCGAGGCTTTGTTGCGATGGGAGCGGCATAAAAATGTTTTAAATAAATAAATGAAATATTCCTCCGCTAAATGGAAATGGTAGAAATTGAAAAAAGAATAGCAAAAGCAGAAACAAACTCCCAGAGCAGTTCAGGGAAACGGGCGCAAGAGGTGGCAATGAGACAGGGCATCACCCCAGTGCTGGCTCCGTGTTTGGAGGCCCCAGGCAATCCTCAGTGAGCCCCATTTCTCAGGGCCCTTTCCACCAGCTGCTCCTGTTCCTTGTCCTCTGCCTTGCCATTGCTACCACTGGCTTGCTTGACCGGCAGGGAGCAGAGGGTGAGCAGTCTGTGAGACCGGCTATTCTTCCTTCTCGCCAGCACCAGTGCCTGGGCTACAGTGAGAGGCAGAAGTGGGCGGCAATGGAGCCAGGAGGTTCATGTAAGTGGGTCCCTATTGGGTGTGTGTCCCAGGCATGCCTACTGTTGACACTGGCCCAACAAAGCTCTTTTCTGGCCTGCTGGAACCTCTGTTTTGCTTTCTCTTCTGGGAGGCCACCAAGAAGCCAATAATCTCTTGGGAAGGGAGAAAAGGGAAGCCGCTGCTCAGAGAGGTCTGCATGCAAGGTGAGCTTGTGCATGCAGAGAAGCAGTTCCAGACAAGCACCGAACGGCACTGCAGGGGGAGGCTGCACTGTGGCCACGTGTCCACTGCCGTGCTGGCCATCTCACCTGGTGGTTCACGGGTTTGTGCTTCAGCCCAGGCTTGTTCAAAAGCCGCTCAATCTGAGCATGGTTGAAGTTGGAGATGCCGATGGCTTTCACCAGCCCGAGGTCCACCAGTTCCTCCATTGCCTAAGGGGAAGAGACCCGAGATTCAAAAAAGCCAGACAGACATCTTGAGCTTTTTTCCCTATACAAATCAGAATGCACCTTCCATAGCTTTTGGCTGTCTTGCAAAGTACTCAGGGAATCATGTGGCTAATGGGAACAGTATACAAATGATAAAGATTATACAGATGTCAGGAAGTCAGACTAAAAAGGAGCATCTCCAGAGATCTTGGTGAACCTCTACAAGTCAGTGACAGACAAAACATAGCAAAAATCTGTTTGTCGCGTATCCAGTTCTTCTGCACAGCCACAGGACAAAATAGGAAGCTGCATCCTAGAAACAAACTGAAGTCAAGCTGAACTTCCAGAGTAGGGCAAGTGCTCCAGTTGCATGTATGTTGACTGTTGATACTTTGGCTGTATCCCAGTACACCCTCGTGATTCTAGTAGCACTTGTATGTTGCTCTGTGGGTTGCTAGTTGCCATGGGCTTTCTCCAAACAAGGGCAGGATACCCATCAAAATCAAGAACCAACCTCCCAGGTGTCCAGAAAATCCGTGTTGCTTGGGACGACCATGCCCTTCTCATCACAAGGTTTGAATTCCTCTCCAGCCTGCCGGGGGAAAGACACCGGTTACATTCCTCCCTGTGGGTTGTGATTACAATGGTTAAACAAAACATGTAACGCAGGAAGGACAGCACGGTGCAGGTGAAGCCCAAGGACAAAATCTACTCCTCCGGTCCTCTGAGGCTCCCAAAAAGCAAGGTTCCAGGTTTTGCACAGGTGTTTCTTCTAAAGGGTTGAAACACCTTCCATGGCTTAGTTACCAGCAGAAAGGGCTATAAGTGAAAATATGCTGCTCTTTTGGCCTCTCTAACCTTTGGCTCTGCTGACCAAAGGCACACAGCCCGAGTGTCTCCGAAATGGGACTTCAGCCCTTGAACTAAAAGGGCTGTAACATCACAAGTACAGGGGTCAGAATACTGGACCATAGCATAAGTTCCCCATTCTGGGTCAGGTTGATTTTTAGGGCCAAAGGTCTTTGCAAAAAGTAATAATAAACATGAATGAACTCAATGAACTGTAAGCCATCCTGAGATCCACTGGGTACTGGATGGGGTAAAAATTACTCAAATAAAAATAAAAAATACAGTATGTAACACAGCACAGTCACAATGTATATATTTAGTAAACATATATAACACCCAGTAAATAAAGACAGAATCAAGAATACAAATACAAGCAAGGAAATAAACAGTCATCCTGAGATTAGGTGAGGGCCTCAAAGCCTTGGGGCACAGCAGGGCAAAGAGAAAGATCGGGTACTCCTAGCAGATCCGTATCTCAGAACAGGATGCATCAGTTTTTGAATGCAAGTTCATTAGAACAGCTCATAATAATGTAAAATGGGGCTCCAAAGGCAGGAAGCAAAATACAATATAGTGTGGAAGGCCTGCTGTTTCAGAGTTTGCACAGAGAAGTTTGCAAAGGGGGTCCAAAGGGGTCTGGCAGTTAGCAGCTGTAGATCCTGGTCAACGGCACAGCCAGGAAAGGCGCAGTTGTGACCTCATTTCCCCAGTCCAGCCCCCTTACGGCGCCTTGGACGACCATGTCCACGATCTAGAAGTACCTTGAATCCCATGGGAAAGTGTATCAGGTAGAGGTCCAAGTAGTCCAATTTTAGGTCGGCCAGAGAAGCCAGGAACGACTTCTTCACCAGGGGTTTCGCATGGCAAGTGCACCACAACTGCACAGGGGAAGAAGAAAGCCACACACAGTCAGCAAGGAGCCCTCGTGAACACTGGGAATGCACCTCGGGGGGCTTCAGAGCAGGGCGGGTGGAAAATGGTCCTTCTGACCCAGATGAGAGCAGTGTGCCACCCACGGATACATTCCAACTTGGGCCGCCTCCAAACCACCCAGTGGCCGGCGTCTGGCTCAAATGAATCTTGATTTGGCCCTTTGAGGCCTCTGAGCCCTGCAGAAGCAACCCTACCTTGCTGACAACAAAGAGATCTTCCCGTTTCACAGCTCCTTCCCTGATTTTCTCCTGGATGGCGTTCCCAATCTCATCCTCATTCCTGTAAAAGCGGGCACAGTCAAAGTGCCGGTATCCAAGGTCGATGGCACACTTCACTGCATCTTTTACCTTTCCTGGAGGAGCCTGGGATACAGATGTGGCATTTTCATTATCGAACCCCCAAAAAACTTTTCAGAATGCCCATTTCTTAAATGCTTAAACTAGTTCACCATCCTCTCTAGGTCCTGGCAAAATAAAAGCCTAAACCACGGAAGGTCCAACCATTCCCTCTATTTGTGATGTTCAGGCTGTAGGTACCATTGCAGCTTGTCCGTTGCCTTAGGTTCCTTACCAAAGGAAGAGAGATCAGGTATACACATAAAATGATAATTTCACCAGCTAAAAACTGGGATAGTATCTTGATGTGGAGGAAACGTTTACATTGGGAAGGGAGCTGAGGGCTGACCCCTGAGCAGCCCTGGCAGGGGGAGAAAAATGAGTTACCCCATAATGATTTCTGTCTTTTTCAGTAATCACGTTTACTAGTGGGACCTGTGATGAAATGTCCAGCATGGAGGGTTCCTGCCAGCCATGCCCGCTCACAAAACACTCCATTTCAGCCCCAC